CCCCAAAACCCCAAAACCCCAAAACCCCAAAACCCCAAAACCCCAAAACCCCACTACCTTATCATTATATTGAATTTATAAAATGGAAAGCTTAGCCTATCTATTGATTTGGAGTGTCTTTTTAACAATGGGACACTTCCAATTTGGCTATATGGTCCACATGATGAGTGTACTTTGGGACATAACTCCTTGAATCTACGGGTTCAGCCCAACTAATATCCGCCATGTCAACGTCACAGCTAATAGTATTTGTAAGTAACCGGTGAGAATTGTCAAATTTTTATTACAAATTATTGTCTAACCAAGTTAGACCCTCTCCAGAGGTTCCCTCTGGAGAGGGCCAACTTCTAAGCCAATATTTTCCATAAAAACATGCAGTTCTTTGAACTACAATTTGCTTGCTAAAATATTCTGGTAATGAATAATTTTATAAGAAACCTGCTCTGGCCTAAATCTGAACCTAAATTCACAGAGATTTTCAAAAATTGTTCAGCCAAATTTAGAGTTTCTTACAGCAGCTAGCTGCTGTAAGAAAAATTTGATTTTGAATTTTCCAAAATGTGTGACTCTTGTGAACGTTGTTCTTGGGAATTTAGATTTCCAGATGTAAAAGAAATATTCAGCAATCTTTTCTGATTAAGCTGTTTGTGCAATTTTGGTCATTGTTCTGACAATTAAAGGACAGTAATTTTTGACCCTATTTTTGATACCTTAATCTAGATTTCCGTTATTAGTTTTACCAAGATTAGTACCTTATTGGAAGTTATTGGTGATTTTGGGCAAAATTTGAAACTTAATGAGAAATATAGTTCCGATGATGGCAGCTGTTGGTGGTGCTGTTTCATGGAAGCTCTCAAGATACGGAAAAAGGAAGGCTCTTATAGCTTCATCAGTAATCTGCTTATTTGGAAGTGGTATTTTATATATTGGGTCTGTGTACGCAATGATAGTCGCAAGAGGAATCATCGGAATTGGATTTGGCATCACCAGTGCTGTATGCCCTCTTTTTCTATATGAAATAGCAAGAGCAAGGTATATCGAAATCTGAATTGTTTCGATATGGATGTGGATTAACATTGGATTTCTGGCTCCTTTGTTGCTTGATTTCTTCTTACCAAGAGTTCGTCGATCTGACCTCATTTATGAAAACATTTGCACGCAATTAGAAGGAGAGCATCTCATATGGAGGGAGATGGTGATTCCAGTCAGCTTCGTTGCATTCATCCAGCTAATTTTCTTACTCTTCGTGTTTAGAAGAGAGAACCCTATCTATGAGAAGCACCTCAAGGATGTCTCTTCATCGGCTGAGTCATTAGAGGAGTCTTCTGAAGAGGGATATAATGCTGGTATTAATTATGACTGAAATGACCAACAATCCTCCCAAAGGAAAGAAACCAGACTTGAAAAGGACACATGGAGCAATCTGTGGAGGATGTCTGAGAGAAAGAAGATCATCGCCGGATGCTTAATGAGAGGGTTCCAACAGCTCACTGGAGTGAATATAATCCTCAACTATGCCCTTACATTTGTATATGACATGGAGCATAAGAGGATTAACTTATCATTTACAATCACATGAGCTTCAAGCCTTTTCCTTATCCCATCTATCATAATGATTAAGAGGTTCGGAAGGAAATAATTTATTCATGGCAACAATGATAATCACGTGACTCTGATGCTGAATTCTCTTCCAGATGGCAGAAGAGTTGACTTTAGTAGAACGCAAAGTTCCGATTTTAGACAGCATGCCTAACACGGCATCTACTATTGTGGTCTGGATCTTCTTCATCTGCTTCTGGTTGAACTTTTCATCCACTCCAGTGCTATATTGAAGCGAGACGTTGACAGATAAAGGTATAGCAATAGTAACAGCTGTCAGCTGGAGCATTAATACTTTAGTTCAAGCCCTACCTTCTATAGCTATGGCTATTATTGAGCAAGTTCAAGGTAGAACAAGGTTTCGAAAAGCAAACTCTATTCTATTCTTTCTGCTCAGTGGCACAGCAATGGTGGGCTTCTTCTGAGCAGCCCTCTTTGTGATAGAAACTCGAGGCAAATCGAGGAGGCAAATGTCTGAAGAGTTCAAAGAGCGAGTTTTTAGTCTAAAGAACTCAAAAATTTACAAGCATTAAAACATTTCTGAGGTTTTAACTATTTTTCTTAAAAAATTGCACTTTTGAAAAGTGCTATTGCATAAGATTTTAAGAGCTTAGGATATAAATTCGAGAAAATATCTTTGATGATATAAAAGAGGTTTAGAAAATTTAGAACTAGTGGTAAGAGGCAACATATGCTAAATTACGATTTTTACCATAGTTATAATTTTCTTACGTTAAAAATTAATATCCTCGGAAATATTTATTACAAAGGAATCAATCCCTAGTATCTATCATGGGGTTTTGGGGTTTTGGGGTTTTGGGGTTTTGGGG